TGTGTAGTGATGTGAAGAAGAAATATTATATTTTTTATGGTCAATTTTATGCTTTATTTCATGATTATGATAATTTAATGCTTATGGAATGTGTTTTGGTTGTGTTACAGGTTCTAACCGCGCTTCAGGGAGCTAAAGAAGGCAAAATCGTCAAAAGAAGCATGACACCGTTACGCTAGGAAGTGACACGCCTGCATTGTCCCGCAGAGGAGGCAGCATTCCCGCACTGCGATGCAGCGAAAACTGACCGCCCTCTCTATGCAGAGAGCATTGTGGACCGAAGCAGTGACGCCCTACGCTAGGAGCAACACATGCACCACTTTCTAGATCCTTGGGTGCGCTTGCGCCCTTGTTGCACCAGAGTGGGTGGCACAGGAGTGCACCCACGTCCAGATCCATAGTTTAATGATTTAGAAGAATTTCATATAGGATTTGGTGCCCTAACTATAGAAGAATTTGTAATGAAGCCAAGAATCACTTTTGGCTGTGGAGGCTCTTCTCTAAGCTTATGAAAGTCTTCTCTTTTGTGTGCCCTAGGGTTTTCTCTTTAGATTTTCTTGGGAGAAAGCTTTAGGGTTTCTCTATGAGAGTTTGAAGAGGGATAGACTTGAGTACTTGTACGTGGGAGATTCTTAAAGAGTGTTCATTGTAAGGCGTGGATCACAATGTACTTCGAGGAGATATCAACTCTGGGTTGAGTTTTTGTAGCTATTTATATTGTTTGTTTTTTTGAATTTAATGAATTTTTTCATGTTTTCTTCTATCATGTATAGTAGTTAAGTTATTTTCATGCTCATGTGATTACGACATTGTGTTTGAATCGATGTTTTCTCCATGTGTTTTGCTACGTTATGTGTGCTTTATTTGGTTCATGTTGATATGTTAATATTTTGATCGTGATTTGCTTCTAATCTGACCGATTAGAAAGTTAAAATACCTTATGGTGTAGGACTTCTAACTGTTATCTAAAAGAATAAGTATATTAATGTATATCACATAGTGCAATAAATATATTGTAGGAGATTGCAAACAAGATAAGTTACTTGTGGATACTTGGGAAACCTTGTATGGTTAAGCCCTCTTAACTGTAATACGGGTTTCCAATGCTTATTATGACCTAGACACAGGCTAAGGAGGATTTGTCCATGGTTGCCAACCACAATGTGGAGATCTCCTAGGAAAATTTCCAAGATTCACGTAATCTAATTTACGGGAGTATGATTTTCATTACCTCTGAAAACTTAAAAACTTTATTCTGCTTTCTATCCTCTTAAGATTTTAGAAACTTTTAACCTTTTGCAAATTTGAAACACCTCAAACTAAACTTAGGGTTTTGTAAACTAGAACTTCACCAGTTAGGAAAATTGACTAGTTTCCTTATGAGATCGACACAGACTCTAATTTTATATATTACTTATGTGACACGTATACTTATGCGAGTACCGACTGCTTTGCAGTAGTTTTGGGCATCATGCAACAACGTGGAGGATGGCTTAACAACAAGGAATTGTAGGAAGAACAACAGAAGGACTGCTGTCGGGGCAAGCTGCATCGAGGAGGAATGCGTGGGAACGAGTCGGGATGGATGCGAAGAAGTTAGGGAAGGATAAGCGAGATACATCAAGAGCACCACTTGACCCTTAGAAGCTTATGGCGCACAACCACTTCTAATTAATGAGTCTTGCAGTGTCGGACGCGGACGTTGCCCCAACACATGTTAGACACTGCATAAAAGTACCTGATTTAACTAATATTAAAAAAGCGAGGATACACGCATGACACACAAAATACACCCGTGTCGTAAATTAATGAATTCAAATTTATGAAAAATATTCATATGATTAATTAAAAAATATATTTTTTATTTAAAATTTAATAAAAATTTAAATACATATCAATCAATTTTTATATATTTACGTATCTAACATCTAAATTTCAATTTTTACATATATATGTCGCCTTATGTGTATATGAAAATGTGTATTTCACTTTTTAAAATTTGAAAATGGTGATATATTAGGTGTGATATGATTTGGGCGACATAAAAGAAAAATCAAAATTTAGCTGCTATATGTAAATAGATAAGAATTCGATGCCAAAGTAGTTAATGATCATTTTATTTCTTTTATTGAATAATTGATTAAGAGGACTTAAATCTTGATGTAATTCAGAATAATATATGCTTACTTTAATACATTTTGATTATTTTTAAATATAATTTAATTTATTTTTAAAGATAAAAATTAAAATCTATAAAAATTGTATAAAATAAACCTAGAAATAAAAATTTAAATGATAATGTTATTAAATTTCTTATTATATATATATATAGTTTTTATAATAAGAGCGTGATCGACTCTTATCTGTCACTTACATCTTCAATGATAGACATATTCGTCATGTGTCACGTCTGTGTCGCTGTGTCCGTGTCGTGTTCCTGTGTCTGTTTTCATGCAACATAGTTGGAAATTAATAACCACCTTCGAACATGATACAATCAGAGCACCCCTCTCGTTTGGATACAATCCTAGAAGGGAAACAGGGGATGCCAGCGATTTTCCTGAATAAAAACATAACAAAAACTGGGAAACTAAAAGATAGGAGGCAAATATATATACCCTAGATAATTTGTCAAATCTAAGAAAAGCCGATTGACTCTCCCTTGGTCTAGACCGGTCGGTCCAGGCCCTTGAAAGCGGGTCAGGGGAAGTCCCTCTTGCGACATCAATTAATTATGTCGGGATCGTGGGATCCATCTTATTCTGTGATTCTGCAGGATCTTGCAGAAGCAAAAAAGCTCTCGCGTTAGACGATCTGTCAAGCATGCATAAGATTTTGGTGAAATTTTTGGTGAAAACCACTTATACGATTGATTTATGAGGTGGAAGTAATGTTTATGCCCATTTAGGGTATATCATTTGTAGGAGTGGCAAGCCAACTATATCTTATTACGAAGGTCTAGTAAAGAAACAAATTTTTTACAATGCTTTTATGGTTACCAATGTTTTTTATAATTAGAACATATATTGGATCCTTGTTTATTCTATAGGCTTTACTAGTGTTTTTTTCTTCATTGTTTTTGAACATATGAACATGGATCTAGAGAGATTCTAACCCATCTTAGCTGAGTTTCAGTGGAGATTTTCATATTATGGAGGGCATAAACGTGCTCAATGGGTCTTTAGAGAGTAGCATTGTTAGGAAAGCCCAATTCATGGACTTTACTATAACATACTTGTCAATGGAGAATGCCACACTAAAGCGCAAATGTTTCCATGGAGCCATAGTTCATAGCGCATAGCACGGCGCACACCATTTTAAAGATGACACAAAATATTACAAAAATTATGAAAAAAATATTAAATTGAAAGATAAAATATCATGATAATATAATAACATAATATTAAAATTCAAGCACTCAACACATCAATTATTTAAAATTTAAATTTATTATAATTTTTTTTGCAGGTTTAATGTTTTCATGAGAGATTAAATTAGACATTGAAAAATTTACCATCATCATTATAAGTAAAAAAAAACCTCATTTTCATCACAATATCATTATTATCTTTTAAAGTATAATCTTTTTCATCATCCTAATAGGCAAGCGGAGCTCCCGAGCGAATTTATTTCACAATTGTTCATTGTTGGTTCTCATGAGGGGACTTTTACCTATCTTGGTTTTGGTATTAATAGATTTATGCCTTATATTTATTAATTTTGTGAAATTTACATATATACCACGCAGTCCTTATATATTTATGTATTCATCATATGAAGTTTAATATTTACATATATAACATTAACACTTTATTTCATAATTATATCAAAACATTTTCATGAAAAGTTATATTTTACTTTAAAAAATTAGCATTTGTGATATTTTTGATCTGATGTTAAAACTTTGAGTGATAAGTAAAAAATAATGTTTAGGTGTTAGATATGTGAATACATAAGAATTGTGTTATTCTTACATAAATCTCTTTTTATTTCATATTAAATATTAAAAAACAAAATATCATACGCCATCACCCTTGCACGTCTCAAATAGATAATTTTGATGTGCAATATCGCACCATATAAATGACACCAAGAATGCGCCAAAGCCATGTGCGCTGACAAGTACCATTTTGTGTCATTGACATGTACACACCATAGTCTAATTAGTTTGTTTACTGCATCATCCTTGAATGGAAAGAACTTTTGAGTCATGCAATCTTGCTACCACTTGACCACCATGCTTGTGGTAAGAAATATTGATTAAGAAAAGTTTCCTAGCCGAGTCTCAATAGACATGCTCAATCATTTTTAATTCCAAGTTTTTTGAAGCATTTCTAATCGAGCCAAAAACAATTTGAACCTCTTGAGCAACTCATGTCCTCTGGTTCAGTGATTGCATCTGTTTTACCTCTTAGAATGCCAATTGCATATCAGGACCATTGTCGAGGTATCTTTTTCTCATGGTCTCTATGAAATTCTAGCTCTCCATGTTGCCTTTCTTAGTTCTCCATGTTTTGTGATGGATGGGCGCATTCATGGGTTAAGTATTTAAGTTCATGTTTCATTGTAACATTATTCCTGATTATATTCAAAATTTTCTTTTTATTACAATTAACATACTGTATCTTGTAACGTAATTTTTGGATTGAAATGTTCATTTATTTTTATTTATGAAACTTTTTTTTTTCATGAAATTTTATTTTAGTCTTTCGGCTTAGATTCCTTTTAAGTGAACTTAGATTGCTGTTATACGTAATACGTGTGGAAGTTATGCATTCTGATTTCCAGTTAGAATCTCTCTGTTTTCTGGTCCATTCTTAATGTTTAGTTTCCAGATGCTCGTAAGATTTTATCAATTTTTCTTAAGCCTGGTTTATTCATCATAAAGGAGCTCATTCTTATTATGAAAACCTTGGATTTTGAAGCAAAAGATTTTAATGTCTTATCAGTCTAGGCTAGTAGTTCTTACCAGAGCTATATTGTTCTGTTTATTTTGATAGTTATGCATTGGACGTGAATGTAGAGAGGGCAGAAGATGTTTTAACGCACAAGAAATTGTTGTTACAGGCACATGACCCAGCTAATTGGCCAGTTTTTGAAGTTAGAATTGTTCAGGTATGAACTAAGATGCAGTTTGTTTTTTGTTGTTAACCTCGTAGTGCGTCTTTTCACTTCTGTACTTTCTCCTTGTACTATTGCTTGCTCCTATCATACTTTGATTTTTAACAAAAAGAACTCTGAATCCATTTGGTATATCCAAATTGTTGAAGATGGCGCTAAAATATGCTAGATTGTTCTTTATGGGTTCATGTTTTTTACATGGAGAGATCCTTCTTTATAAGCTAAACTACAATGGGCTTACCTGAAATCACAATGCAAAACATGATTTAAGTAGCTGCTTTCATAATTTAGTACTTATTTTTCTGAATCAGGAATTTTATTCTGCAGATGCCTAGGGGTGATTCCGCTGGCTGTAATTCACTTACTGAAGGAGATACTTAGTAAGCTATTTGCTTGAATGAAGTTTTACCTTCCATTGATTGTACATGCTATCCTTATTTCTAATTTCTATGCTTTTGGGTTTTATGTTTGAAGTTAGACATGCTCATAATAAACGAGAAATATGAATGCTGAAGTTAGTTTTATGGTATTATGTGAATTTCATAATTGCTTTTCCTTTTTGGCCCAAGTTGTTTTCAGGAGAAATAAATGTATATTTTTTAAGTTATGAAACATCTGGTTGAATCTCTGATAAATTTAATTGATTTCCTCTATGATGTATTCTAGTTATGGACAATATTTCACATACCTGTGACAGCTGAAGCAACATTTCTCTTTATTTTTATCAATTACCAATTTTGTTCCGTAGCGCAATTTATTGCTATCTTTGCGTATTCGAGATTTGGTGTGTTTGTTGAATGCGTTAACCTCACTTTAATTGTTCTCTTCTCATTCTATTTTTACAAGTATCCGATACATTACCTTACTGCTATTGCAGCATTCATCCTCCCCCAACATTTGGTTCATCCACAAATTTAGAGGGCCTTGCTCTAGCAGCCAGCGGCGACTATATTAAAGATGAAGACAGTGTTTCAAACGCCATTTTGCCATTTACTAAGTCAGTTTCTTTACTATTCTACTCATATTATTGACTAATTGCAGATAGCTATGTATTATGCACTTCTCAAAATGTCACACATGATATTACCCTACAGCTCATTGTATTACATTGGTTTTTTGAGAACATTTCTCAAGAAAAATTGCTTTGATTTAGATGTTTTTTTAAAGTTAAATGCATTAACTAGATAATTATATTAGTACATCAAGGACATTTACCAATAAATATCAAAACAAAAAGACAATATAACTAGACAGAAAAAGATATAAAGAGTTCATTTGGATCATTTAGTTTGAAGCCTTGTCAAAATAGAATAACCTTCTTTTTTTTATTTTTTTAATTTCTACTATTTCTGATGTAAAAAACGTAAGTTTTTTATCCACCGGAGAATTGGCACTCTAAATGCTAGAATCAAAATCAGAAATATGTTGCGATAAATATTCACCATTTGAATTATATAACATTAAAAACAAGAAAACAAAAGGGAATAGTTGATTAAACTAAATACTCTACCTACTCTCACTAAATATTTGTTTAGAAACTATTCACACACTTCCTTGTTGGAGAGGGTCTTTATTTCAATCAAGATGTAACTATTCCGTGGGAATGGAATGAAGCCTGGCAAGTCATTCCTTTTGGGGGGTTTAAAAATGAAGCAAAAGTACTTCTCAAGCAAAAGTACTTCTCAGTTCAAAAAAAAAAAAAAAGTTCAAAGCTGATCCTCAACACTTGATTCTTCTCTGGTTGCAAAAGGACTGCTTGAAAGCCCTTGCCCTTCTCCTTCCCACATTCGAAAACAGTCTGATTCCTTTGTTCACAAGCCTGCTCAAGCATCCCTACCACTTCTTAATCACGAGTTTCACGAAACAATCACGAGATTGCTGCAGACAAAGCCTCCAAAACCCTTTTCGTACCCTTCGTTGGAAAAGCAGTGAAGGTATCACTTCCCACAAAGACTTCTGAAACTTCATCTCCTGTTTTGCCCCTCATGACCAAAATCCTTACTATATAGTCACGATTAGGGCTAGTCGTGGAGGCAACTATAGGATCGCGACGCATGAAGATTTCCAAAACTCCTCTCTCGTTCACACTTGGTTCAGCCTCAGAAATCCAACCCTTCCTAGAAAAGCAACGTCAGGATCTCTGCGTACTGGAACTTTCGAAACTTGATTTTCTTTCTATATCACATGTCGAAATCAAAACTCCTTCCTGTGCCCTTCGATAGATGAAAAATGATGGGATCACTGCGTTCTACTTCGTCTTCCTCGACCATAGAGAATCACATGCAGAATCGTTTTCCTTGTGATCACTTCCCTTATATTTTTGTGATGCAAGACCCTCGCTTGCACCACTCCTTTGCAATCTTCACTTAACCCAAATACCTATTATTTTCTTTAAATTTCCCTTTACCTCATTTCATACTTGCTCATATCTTCAAAATAATTCTATAATAAGACCATGAATTTTTCGTTCTCTTAAAAACCATCCATTTTCTTTATATTTGTGTGTTGCAGGAGCCCCCTTGCTTGCACCACTCCTTTGCAACCTTCACTTAACCCAAAATACCTATTATTTTCATTAAATTTCCCTTTGCCTCATTTCATGCGTGCTCATTTCTTCGAAATATGTTCCTTTGTTTCACAAACCCAAAATCGCTAGAAATGCTTCTCTACTTATTATATATATTTACTACTTGTTTCGAGATATGTTCCTTTGTTAAACTTCTTCTCTACTTTCTGCGGCTTGCGACTTGTTCTTCTTCATCCTGATAAGCGCCGGCTTCTTTTGCGGCCCCTGTCCTCGCTCGCAGGGCGCGAGCTTTCCTTTGGCTCGAACGAATCACCCACTGCTCGACTTCCCTTTGGGCATTTGCTCTTTCTCTACTTTCACTTTGCTGTCCCACAGCCCCACCCCCACAGCCCCACCTCCCTCTTTTGGGATGGCTTCAGACAGATCGTATGTTGCTGCCCTTGCGAGTGTTAACGCCTCAGGTATACCTAAATCACCATCTTTTCCTTCTTCATTTGAGTGGGCAGAAGACATCAAGAAGCATGGTAGGAAAAATGGAAAGTCTGCCATCTGTTTTACAGAAGACGATGATATTCAACTTGCTTTCTCCTGTTGTCTGAATTTGGTTGAAAAATTTCTATATGGTCATCCCAAAATGGAGCCCATTCGTAAAGAATTTGAACTTATGTACATTGTTGGAGAGTGAAAAATTAGACTATTAGATGGGAGACACGTTCTTATTCAAATTAACAATGAAGAAGATTACATATGCTTATTTGTTAGAAGGATAATCTGGATTGATAGCAGAGCAATGAAGATTCTGAAATGATATGTGGATTTTGACCCACAGACGAAACCTCCAATCATTCCGATTTGGATTCGCCTCCTTGGTCTGAAATTTTATTATTTTTTTCAAAAAGTATTGTACTCTATTACTCCAGCTTATGGAAAACCACTCAAGACGGACATTCCTACTTTTAATCTTTCCCGTCCATCTGAAGACTGAAGTTAGAGTACTTGTTGAAAGAGACGTTACTTCACCCGCTTCTGAGGAAATTTGGTTGGACATACAACACCATGAATATTGGCAGAAGGTAGAGATTTAGCCTTTTCCGTCGTATTGCTCGAACTGTCGTATGTTCGACCACTCTAATTCTCAATGTCATCATCTACAACCCCACCCAGATCAAAAAAGCAAAGTGCTTCGCTAGAGGCTGTGATTCCATCTCATCCCGATCAGCACCAAGTTTTTGACACTATTGATCATCAGAAGGATACCCCGAAAGACGTCAATATCTCCGTAGGCAATATGACAACCATTCAGTCTCTAGTTGTAACTCTCCAGTCTTTAGAACCTCCTATCGTGTGGGAGAGGGAGATTCTTCAGACTCCGTCTGCCATAGAACCTATCGCCGATAATATAGGTAGAAATACTTCTACTGTTTCACCACCGCCTCATCAGGTCCAGAAAAATGTTAATGTTACTCAAGCTTATGGGGATCATGATGTGCAACGACCTACATCTGTCCGACCACCTTTAGAATCTACTGATCAGATGAGTCAATCATCGGATGAAGAATGACAAATCTACACATCCAGGAGGGAGAAGAAGAATGAAGATTTACTCGAGTTCAGGAATCTAATGGATGATACTTTGATTACTACGGACAATGGTACTCACCTTACAAATTTGTTAACCGGCTCACTTCCTAGAACTCGAGGCAGGAAAACTAAAGTGAGACGTCCCTAATACTTTTGTGCCCTTTTGTGACTTTTTGGTTTTTTTGCCTTTATGTATCTTTACTTTATTTGGATTTTGTGTGTGTTGTATTGTATGAGTTGGATTTTCTTTTATACCCTCTCATACAACCTCTCTGTATCTTTTCCGTATTAATGTATTTGCCCTTAGGGTTTTTTAAAAAGTAATAAAAAGGGGGGAGAGAGGAGCGAGGGGAGAGTGAGAGAATTGTATGGGAAGTTGGGCTCACATTATTTGTATTTAGGTAAATTGGAAACCATGTGTCTTATAGACTGGTGAATTAGAAGGTCTCTTTGAATCGCAGTGTCTCACGTGAGGGTGAGATTTCCCGATGCAGCCCCTCAAGTGAGGGTGACATCACTGTCGAAATTTCTGGTGATCTTGGAATTGCAAATGACCTAAAATACTAATTGGGCTTAATAATGTGATAAATAAAAAATCTAGCCATTCAGTAAAATTTTAAATTAATCATTATTATGAGTACATGGGTTAAAAATTTTATTGTTAGATTGATCTTATTATAACATTTAGAGTGTAATCCATGAGCTCTTGCATTATTGACCACTTTTAAAATTTCTGGTGATCTTGGAATTGCAAATGACCTAAAATACTAATTGGGCTTAATAATGTGATAAATAAAAAATCTAGCCATTCAGTAAAATTTTAAATTAATCATTAAATTTAAAAATCCTGAATTTGGTGTAATTAAAGATTTGCATGAAAATTCTAAATAATTAACGAGAAAATAAGATTTTGACGTGAAGATTAAAAAGGCGAATGAATAAGATGCTTTGACTAACTGCTAAGTTTTAAAATTTTTTTTTTGCCACTAGACTTAGAACTTTTTTGTAAGTGAACAAAACACAATATTTAAAAAGTTTAAAAGTGAAAATTTGCATGAATCGATTATTAATTGAAATAAGGTAAGTTTATACACTTTAAAGTCTTGTATGTGCTATAATGTGTGCAATCATATCTTATGATTAGTCCAGCGTGCTATCATATTTTGAAGAGCATAAAACTCTAGATAATCAATTGTTTTAACAAATAGCTTAAAAATGTTATTTTTTATGCAAATAGTTAATATTTTGAAAATCAATCAATCAAGTAACCTTGTCTATAAGACGATTGTAGGTCCCGCTTAAATAATTCGATCCTTGATAATGGAGTTAACCCAAACTACGATGCAAGACGACAATTATTATTATTGAATTTAGAATGAGGATACAGTGTAGACTGAAAACAAAGGAAAAATAACCTTTCAAAATAGAAAGGTGTAGAAAGGATTGCAAACAAACAACAACAAGACAAACATTCCTGATGAGGAGGAACTTTGTTGTGGTGGGGCAAGGCAAATGAACCCGGTTAGGGCCAGAGAGGTGTCAGGCCGTTGTAAAGGTGTCGAACTGAAGCTGGAGGAGGAGAAGTCGTCGTTGGCTGGAATCTGGAGTGGCTGTTGATTGCGGCTTGCAGGGAAGCTGCACGGAGGAGGTGCGGCGGCTGGAGGAAGAGGGGCAACAAACATGATGGCTCGAGAGGCAGTTGGAAGAGTTGTAAAACGCAACCGTAGCTCCCGTCTACAGGTAGATCGGTGCCGAGTTGCAGGAAGGCAGGGGGAGCTCCCCGATTTGCTAATGGCTATCGATGGTTGCTGTGACCTGCTGGAAGAGCAGGGACGACAGTCTGTTGGTGGTTGAGGGGCTGTGACAGTCTGTTGGAAGGATATGGGAGG